GTTCCTTTAGGAAGGGAGAAAGGTCTGTACATGTGTGACTGAACACCTTTCAATTGTAATATGGCTTGAAGAGGAAGAGGTGGACCAAGGAATGAGGAACAACTATCACCTCTACCTCCTGTGCTTCCACCACCACCACTACAGGGGATAGATGCAATCATGGTTAGGCTGCTTGATGTGATTGTGGATATACAACAAAATCTTAGAGGTTGTGCTATTCCAAATCAACATGTTAACCCAGGTGGTGGGCAAGGAGCTTTTAGTGCTATGTGAGCTCATGGATTGGTTGCTGATAATCAGGAGGATGACATATTCGAACCTTGTAAGGAATTCTTTAGCTCCAATCTAACCACATATGATGATAGTATGTTTGATGGGAAAGCTAAGGAGTGGTTGGATCGAATGGAGCAACTATTTATTATGGTAAGATGTACATATGAGCAGAGGGCTATCTTGACTACAATACAGCTTGTTGGTGAAGCCAATTATTGGTGGGATTATGTTAAGCTCACGGATGGTAGATCTATGGCTTGGGCCGAATTTAAGAAAAGGCTTTATGATTTTCACTTCCCACCAACTTTTAGGGATGAGAAAGAGGTAGAGTTTCATGCTTTTCAGCAGGGAGACTTAGATGAGGAGATCTTTATAAGGAAATTCAATCAGCTGTCTAAGTTTTCGACTTATCTAAATGCTTCTAATGATAGCAAGTAGAAATTGAAGAGGTTATTAGAGAAAATAAGGCCAGAGTACCACTAGCAATTATCTTTACTGGGCGAGACGACATATAATGAGATGCACAATTATCTGACGGTTGTTGCTTGCCGAAGTCGAGCACTTAGATGGAATAGGTATGCTTATTGAACAATTACCCTATGATATAGAAGTTTCCTCTACTTTTGGTTTAGTTGGTCGATCTAGCATGGTGTGTAGGAGTAAGATGACTTTTAATGGGTGGTCGACTTAGGTGAATGTGATCAAATTGCCTATATAAGGAATTGATTTAATCATTGGTATAGACTAGCTGACAGCTTATGGTGCTATCTTAGATTGTGTGGCTAAGACCGTGACTTTAACTGAAGTGTCAGAGGTGATCGAGGAATACCTTGGTCATGTTGAAAGGTTGATTGAGCAGGGTTGTGAGGCTTACATGGTAATGCTTGCTATCCAATGGTCTGAGGCAGTAAAGTGGATGAAATTGTGATTGTTAGGGAGTCCTTAGAGGTGTTTTCAAAGGATGTGTCAGGATTGCCTTCAGAGCATGAGGTTGAATTCTATTAGATTTTCATATTTTCACAAATGATCATTTTTAAATTCACAACCAATTTTCGTTAATTTTATGAGTGATCTATTATTTCAATAATTAAAAATATTTTAATTGCAAATAAAAACCATAGTCCTTTGCTAGCATTTCAATATTCCATGCTCTTCAAATTGTTATTAATATCTTTATAAAGTCCCTAATTGTTATTTTTTTAGAATAAAACCCTAGGACCTAGTCAAAAGACAATCATTTTGACTTCAAAATTTTTTTTGAGAGAAAAACAAAGAAGTCCCAAAAGGATCAATTAATTTAAATTAAGTCTTAAGTACTAAATTCTAAAAATTTGCAACTCAATATTTCAATTTTACAATTGTATTGTGATAAATTTGAAACTTATTTTTTAATTTTAATTTGGTTGAAAAATAAAAAATTATTTTTTTTGTTAAAAATTAGAATATAAGATACAAATTCATCACAACATAGTTGTAAAATTGAGAGATTAAGTTATAAATTTTTAAAAATTAGCAATTGAAAGCTAATTTAAATTAATTAATTATTTTAAGATCTATGTCATTTTTCCCTTTTTTTTTTTTGTTTTGGCCGACATTCACTTTAAATTTAATACTCAATAAATAATTCCATAACAATTTATAGAGTATTAAATTTGAAATCGAAGTCAATGTTTGACTACAAATAAGGGTTCTCTCATGGACGTGAGTATTTGCCAAGAAGTAGCTGGTGATTGTGAGAGTACGCAGTCCCCTTAAAAAAACAAAGCACTTACGTTGAAAAGTAGAGAATACGCGTGAACGTGATGTGATGGTCCTCCCCACTCGCAAGAATGACACTGTACTATGTTATTGGGTAGATCTATTAAATATGAAATATTTAGATATATTGTTAACCAAAAAAAATTTGGTACAATAATTTTATTAAGTATTCTCTTTAATATTTATCTACTCCTTTTCTAACTATTTGTTCATTGTTAATGCTCTCATAACCAGTGCTTCCAATAGCCTTCTGATCTTTGTATATGTCCAACCATGCACTTTAAACATTGTATCATTTTCTTTTCAATAGATATTATATGCCAACTCTTTTACACAACAAAAAGAATAAAAAAATTAAGATTGCACTACTGAATATAGGAACAAAAATGTGAGATTTCTTTTTTGTGGATACTATATTTAACTTATGTATTTGTATGAACTATACATGTAATAAAATAGAAAATATCAAAATAATGCATTTTTTAAATTTTGATATATATATATATATATATATATTCATATATATTTGATTCAAGAAGGCCAATCTTTTTGTAGACGCAATTGATCAAGATCAGCCGGACTAAAAATTATTTACAATTTATATATTATACTAATTAATAATAATAATAATAATAATAATAATAATATTGGGCTCATGATGGCAATTATGTATGGACATAAACGAAAGTAAACATCGGGCATGACATCGCATTAACCTGTACATCAGCAAACTGCTTTTTTTTTTTTTTTTTTCATTTTTCTTTTTTTCCGATGGGTACTCTCATTTTGTTTTTTTTTTTAAATTATATTTTAAGAAAGAAAGAAAACATTTTATATTTTATAAAAAATAATAAAATAAGTAAAATTAAAAAGAAAATTTTATATAAATTCACCAATTTAATTTCAGAGGATTTAAATCATGATCGGATCAAACTTTACAAACATCGTTCCAGAGAGCAAAACTCATTTCTCCATTGGTGCGACCAACCTTACTTTCTTCCATGCTGGTCCCTTCACTTAACAACGCCCTTTCTTCTTCGCTTTTTCCTTCAGTTTACTGTGAGTTTTCTTGAAGCTGCAGCGCAAACTCTAGGCCCCACTCAACGTCACTCATCGATGGTCGCTCATTGGGGTCATCTTCCAAACATTTTAGCGCCATGTCGCTGAATGCTTTAAGGCTCTCTGGTGTGATGCTTTCTATCAGGAAGGTATCAACAGTTTGATGAATCACACCCTCGTGATGGCATTTTCTGACCCATTCCACTAAGCTTGCCTTCTCCTTCTCCACGGTAGGTAAGAAAGGTGGCCTCCCACATAATACTTCAAGTAATACCACTCCAAACGAGTAAACGTCAGATTTTAGGGTCAATCTCTGACGCTTGTAATATTCTGGATCCAAATAACCAATGCTTCCTTTCACCACTGTGCTAATGTGAGTCTTGGATACCCCTGTGGGTCCTATTTTTGATAATCCAAAGTCAGAAAACTTAGCGATCCACTTCTCGTCCAATAAAATATTCGTCGTCTTCACATCACGATGAATGATATTGCGGATCGCACCTGTATGAAGATAATGCAATCCACGCATTTCAATCTCAGTCCGGAACTCATGGTGGCCTTGTTGCGAACCTTGTTTGAGCCGTTTGATGGCGACCGGAGTGTGACCACCACCAATGTACCCTTTGTACACGTTTGCCGAATCCTCCGACTCCGATGTTGAAGTGTTCGTCAAAGTTGCTGGTGGCAGCTCTGATCTCAGCGATAGAAAAGTGACGGCACAGTTCCGAAGGTAGAAATGAACCCTTGAATGTTCCGCCGCTCGACTTAGAAGATTGCTTGACCTTTTTCCGTTGTCTGACGACGAATAATGCAACAGCAGAGGAAATCAAAATGATGATGGAAGCTACAACTCCAATGACGACACCTACTGTAACTGTGCTTTTGGTTTTTCTCTGTGTTTTTACGGGCAGATGATTCAGATTGGCCGGAGATGGTGGAAGAGGATCAGGGTTAGGTCCGGCGAGATTATTTTGTGAATCACTTATTTTGAAAATTTCAAGTCCATTCAAGAATGCGTCGATGTACTCATTCATCTCCTCCTTGGCAGGATGCATTTTAAGTGAGAGAGAAGCTGACTTTGCATCACCTGAAATAATGACTGCATAGTCTCCATATACAGGAACACCTTTTCTGTTGCCCCAATTCAAAACATTTGCCCTTTCCTCAGCCAACTGGTCGGCTATGTAAATATTTTTTCTGTTATAGGGATCGTTGATATCAGGATTAAGCTCACAAAAATGGAGTCTCAGCATGTAGGTAAAGCCTGAATCGACAGGAAACCCCCACTTAAGGTTAGATGTCACGTTGAAATCTTTGTTCTTTCCCATATCGCGTTCTGTTCGATAGACTTCTTCAGGTGCTGTATAATTTGGAGCTCGACTGAACACCAGGGGTCTACTCTTAAATTGAACATCAGTAGGCAGAGAACTCCTTCCAATAACGAAAATTTCATCGGCATCCCAAAATCGGAGCATTCCAGTGTCTTACATGACAGAAATTGGGCCTCCACCGACGTTTAACCTGAACTTTGTCTGAAGTGCAGTGTTGCCGGAGATGCTAGACATGCCCACCAAACCAATTAATTTGAGTCCTAAGTCGTCTGATTTGGTGTAATGGAGATCATCAGGCATGGAGACGATCTCAATTCCGTTAACAAATGCATAAAAATTTGAGTTTGTTGAATTCGGAGTGAATGTTAAGTTTAGCCTCTCACCATCGCCGACGTTGATGCAGTATTCCAGGATGAAGGTATCTTCTCTGTTGGCATCTGCAGTGAGTGAAGCATTGAAGTCCTTAAGGAGCGTGAAGTCACCAGATTTGACTGTGAAGAAGGCATCAAAACGATCAAAACCTGGGTATGAAGCTGGGTAGAAGAGGGGGAGGAATTTCTGGCCTGGAGAGACAGGGAATCAATAGGAAAATTGAGATCGAAAGAGACGAGCTGTGGTGTAAGGGACCTGTGAAGCAGAAGGAGATTGAGGAAGTGCTGTAGCTGGAACTGATCCGTCTTGTTTTGATAAGAACTTAGTGTCGACGTCTCCGGTCCATGTCCCACCATTTCCCGATGAGTTGCCGGACTTGCCATAGTTGATGCTTAGAAGATCATCGGGGGTGTAAGAAGAAGCAAGAATGGAAGGGAAAAGCAGGGGCAAACAGAGGAAGAAGAAGGTCCTTGATGATGAAGCAGAAGTTGTATGGTTGAAGCTCATGTTTGGATGAAGAAGACGAAGTATGGTCTTCATGGAAGTAAATTCTACAGAGCCAAAATGGAAATCAGTTGAGGGTCAAGAGTAGTTGTGGTTCTTGTTGATGCAGAGCAGCTGCTTGCCACGGCACTGCTTGGGTTGTGGGAGTAAACGTCCAGAGTCTTCACTACGCCAACACTCTCTCTCTCCACTTCTGGACCATTTCATTAAAATTTTATTACCAAATAAATTGACTTTTGCCCCTTTTATCTTTACTGTACTTTTGAATTATCAGATTAAATTTAAATTGTTTATATACGTTTATATATTTATCATTTAATATTGACATTATAAGACTTTTAGTAACTTAAATTTATTTTAATTATCAATTCAATCTCTATAAATTAAAGTTCCTATAGTTTTACAATCATACATAATTAATTTTTGTCCTCATGGTTTAAAAGCAAAATAAATCTAAAAAAAATTGTGAATAGTTCTGAAAATGTAGGGACTTTATTAATAAATATTAAATTTTAGGAATCAAATTAATAATGGAGGCAAATTTAAGAATTAAAAGTTTCATTATTTTTCTAATATTTTAATAATAATCCCATAACAATTTATAAAACACTATATCTGAAATCAAAATCAATTTCTCAGCCAAAAAAAAAGTGAAAATCAATTTCTGATTAGGACAATGGGACTTGGCGTTCTCATGAATACGAGTGTTTGCCAGGAAGTTACCTTGTGATTTTTAGAGTAAACGTTCCAAGTCCACTAAAAATAAACAAAGCACCTCACAGGCTTACACACATTACACACCAATCAACTATCAACTGTATTCCACAAATCATCAATCAGTATATATTAACAAATGTCGTAGAAGTCTTCTGATTGGCTGACGGAAGCACTAACTCTAACCGTCTCCATGTCTCCATTAACTCCGCTTCTCCATCCTCCACTCCTTCCCCGTGCATCTTCACGTCTCTCAATGCTCTCTATCTTCAAGAAATGTTAGGCCTCTCCCGACGGTTCGGATTCAGTGCAAAGTGAGAAAGGGAGTGAGAGAGACACAAATATCTTCATTCTTCTTAATCGTGCGGCATATAACCCAACAACAAACAAAGTTAGCGATCCCTTAGTGGCGACGGAGATCTGGGTTTGGTCTGGGCAACATGGAGTCGGGAGAGGACCAGAGGATGAGTAGCAAAGGAGGGCAAAATCAAGAAAATCCTCAAGATCCTGTTTATGGCGTATTAAATTTACGGCTCGTGTCCTAGCATGTCTAATGAACTAACTGTTTTCTTTAATTAGCAGTTAGTTTTACTAGGTAGTGACAATGTCGACTCCTGCAAGGAAGAGGCTGGTGAGAGATTTTAAGAGGCTACAACAAGATCCACCTGCAATAATCAGCGGTGCACCTCAGGACAACTATATCATGCTGGAATGCTGTAATATTTGGGTGAGTTGGAATGAAACTAGATGTAGATCCATCATTTTGTTTCTTTGCATAATATAATCACTTCTTATTATTTCTCACTTCGTTTAAGTACCGATGGATAAGCAATTTCTGCTTTCTTGTTTGCTTTGGATTGCAGTCATGATGATGTTCCATGGGACGGAGGTGAGTTAATCCTTGCCCCGCATCTCTTAAAATAATGTTGGTTCATGTGTGACTAGATTCTTCTTGAAAAACAAATTATTTCTCTGCCCTCCTTTTATTAATTTGTACATATTCTGATCAATTGGATTTAAATTTGCGGACTCCATAGATGGTTGTAATCCTGACGTTGAGAATTATGCTTGAACAGTCATGTAGACGCAACTCTTGTCTGGTGATAGATTATTTTTTCATTTATCATATTCATATCGTGATTCTTGTAAGCTGTATATTTATTGTACTGTTGACATGCTACCTAATTGTGCCTGATAGAGGTTGTGTGCTGTATACTTTCTCTGGGTACTCATAGTGTAGCCTGCTTTGCTTTATACCTTTTCACTTAATGTAGTCATGTCCGGAATCACAATAGATCTGAGTGCTCATGTCCAAAATCAAAATATGTCTGATAGTTCTGCATTTAGTGATATGGGTTGTGCTCAGATTCCTTCTCTTGTAATCACAATAGCTTTTTCAAACTTTTTTTCTTTTATATTATTGTTCTCATTCAATTTCTCCACCTTCCTTCAATTCCCTTTTTCTTTTATGTCCAAGGGAATCATGGTAGTTGAACATAGCAGGGAAGATCGAGGCAGCTGTAAAGAAAAAGGAAGACGGGATATAAGAAGTATATTTCAAGGCTGATATGGCAGAGCATCAAAGAGATATAAGAAGGTATATTTACGGGTGTCATTGTGTATTAGTAGTCATACATGTTTATATGTATTATAATAATTTCCTTTGGAAGATAGACACATATTATTGGAAAAAGATGTTTCTCTTGCAATCATTTTTCTGTTACTTTCTTTTGACTGTAATTTTCTCCATTATATCATACCAACACCACCACATGATCTTTTCTAAGGGAGTTTAGAGCTGAAGAAAAAATTTCCTAAGCTTCTAATTAGTTTTGATCTAGGTGGCTTCACCGATAAAATGTTCATGTAATGCTCAATGCTTTGTTTGAAAACTCAAGACTCAAAAGAAGCATGGCTTTTAGGGTAGCTTAAATCCAAGATCATATAAACCACAATTAATGAATGCTTTTAAAATGACAGAAGGATTTTAAAATATATATCCTCTATTATTTGTCCTAACATTTTTCTTAACTTCAATAATGATATTTTAAAATAATTCATGATTGCCTCTCTCATTACAATTTTTTCTAATTTTTAGTTTAATATCATATTAAAACAAGTTCCTCATACATTTGTATGACTTAAAACCTGTGCAAATGCATAGGAATTATTTCTTAAATCCAACCCGTACAACACACGAAAAATTGTTTAGTCTTATGGAAAGAAAGTGATTGGTTCAAAAATCATAGAATCTTAGGTCACTATATTTTGATTATTTTTTAATATCTCTCTCATTGGTTAAATCAAATTTGCATATATCCTGCTCATCCTCCTCATTCCATGTTCAATGTTCAATGTGTCCACATTATCAGGGTATGTGACTCTTCAATTTTCCGATTAATATTTCGAGACTGTCTATCTTCTCCTATTATATATGTTGGCCTTTCAGTTCCCCATGCTTTTTCATCTACACCATTTTCTAGACTCAATTCCGTCCGTTTTTGAAGGTATTGTTCTTTCAATCATTCCTCTTCTCTCAGACTGTACCTCCCTAACCACCTCTGGATATATTGCATTGCTTTTCGATCTCGACGATGCTCCTCAAGAAGCAGAGTTTGACTAAAAAGCAAATTTTCCCCTGCTACGATGTAACTCAGACAGCGATTATCTGATATTGAAGTTGACCCAAAAATATCTCTCATTGGTCATTTTTTCACAATCTAAATACCTTCCTTAGATTCGCACCATTCCTCTCAATGCTGGTAAGTTGATGATTTTTTCTTTCCTATCTTGGGTGTTATAATATAAATTGCATATTAATTTAATCATCTCTACCATTACCAAAATTGTTAAGCTAATGAGTTTAATACACTCATAACAAGAATATAAATTTAAAAAATAAACTCAAATCGTAAATTCATAAGAGTTTATCTCTATTAATAAATATCCTTTAAAAGTATATGATTAAATAATTAAAATATAAAATATGATTATAATTTAATTAAAATATATTTCAATTATAAACTATTAAAATTAAATCATCTACATTTTTATATTATTATACTCGACATAGAAATTTCAAAATAAGGCAATTTATTTTTTGTATTTTTTGTTTTCTTTTTTATTAATATTAGTTTTCATTTTTTTATTTTTACTTGTCATTGAACTGGGTTTTACCGCTTCAATGAACTAAATTCTACATAATATATATCTATCTTACTCAATGAGATTATGAATAGATTATCATAATTTTATAAGTTAGAAACATAGACATGGTAAAAAGAATACATAAGGAAAATAGAATTTGGAAAAGCAAAATGTAGAGAGTAGAAAGGGACATGCATTGTTGATGAATGAAGAAAAGGACATTGGCTATAGAACTGCGATGAGTGGCGAGGAGAAACACAAGAGTGAGAAAACAGGGCTGTTTGGGGGCGATCATGCTGGTGATCGTGGGGGAGGTAGAGAGAGGGACAAGTGTGAGCAGCCGTCCAGTTTGGTGTTCTGTAGTGGGGTGGATGAGATTCCTAATAGTGTTAAAGACAAGCTATTATCGTTGAGCCGATCGGGTTTCTTGATGAAGCATAATGAAGAGGAAGACATTGTGCATGGCTGGAGGTCGTATTTTACGAAGAAACATAAGGATGCTGAGACCATTAAGGAGAAAGCAGGCATGGTGCAAGAAGAGGAGGGATATGAAGGTGGCATTAGAAAGAAGCTTGTGTTACAGGTTACAGCTGACAAATATGAGAGCTGGTGCCATCCTTGGATGAACTCTCTGATTGTGAAACTTTTAGGAATGTCGATTTTGAAGCACATGTTAGAGCAGAGAATGCAGTGAATGTGGAAACCTCAGGGATCCATAAAGGTCACTCCTCTAAACAATGGGTATCACGTAGTATCATTCATGAATAAAGAAGATAGGGACTATGCTTTCCAAGAAGGCTTATGGATGATTAATGATCACTATTTACTCGTGCAAAGGTGGAGACCGAACTTCAACCCTTGGAAGGCAGACGCGTAAAGGAAAATAGTAGTGTGGATTCATATATTAAACCTGCCGATCGAGTTTTATAATGTGGAGTCCTTATGGAGGATTGGGAATATGATAGGGAAGACTCTCAAGATTGATCTTTCAACCTCTATTTATGATAAAGGGGATTTTGCTCGAATATGCATTGAGATAGATCTCTAGCAACCTTTGCTCTTAGTCTTTGAAGCTTTTGGTGAAGATCGTCTAATAGTCTACGAGGGTCTACATTTGGTTTGTTATAGATGTGGGAAATATGGGCATCAATGCAAGGAATGTCCTCTAGAGAAAGAACCAATGGAGAGAAAACAGAAACCAGAGATGGTAGAACCAGGAGTTCTGACTAGAAATGACAAGCAAAGTCAAGCTACACCGTTGGAAACAAGCTCACGAATAATTTCGACGAAAGAGACCAAGTCAACGATAGCGGAGGGAGACGTCTTCGGTCCTAGGAATCTGTTACAGTGAGATTTACGTAAGAAGTTAAATGAAACAAATTCAAGGGGATCTGATAGAGGAAACGCCGTGAGGAATCAGCATTATGTGAATAAATCAGGTGGTCAACTGTTGCAGGGATCTCATAGCGAAAATCAAGGGATAATAAATGAAGATAGGGGTGATGGAGAGAAGGAACAAAGGTCACGTGCCTTTGGCAAAGAGGCTAATAAAGTGGAAAGTGCTTAGGTTCCAGTGGGCTCAAAATGAAAAGGAGATACTAGATTCAAACTTAAAGGGAGAGAGAATAAAGGGATTGGGCCTAGTAGAATTTTTGTGGGCTCACCTTCTAAATTTGTGGGCTCAAAAAATATGTTCAATATCCTTCAATCTAATGAGTGTGAGGTCCTCACAGGGAATATGGACATGGGCTCGCTGGATTTAGACAAGGGGATGGAAGAAGTCTATGATTCTCAGAATGATAAAGAAATAGTGATAGAGGCTAGGATGCATGCAAACGTAATTCTATCAAATGAGAACATGCAAGACAAAGAAAAAATAGAGAATGCTAGAATGGAGATTGAGAAGGGGCAAGCACTCCTTGATATAGTAGTTTTCCCATAAATTTTCTAATATGGAGTTCTTATGGTACGAGGTCAAAGTCATTTCCGAGCCTCGTACGGGAATAAAATCCCATTACAGAATAAATTTTTTGGCTTTATTGGAAACTCAGTGCAGTGCTTCAAAGGCTACTAATTTAATAAAGAAGCTTCATTTTCCAAATTTTAGTAGATCGATGCTGAAAGGGACAGTGATGGGATATGGTGTTTATGGGATAATTGCTTCAAGAAGGTGACTGTGCTGGAAAGGTATAGACAATATATGCACCTGCTTATTGAAGTTGGTGTTAATGAGGAATGGTTCTTCACTGTTGTATATGCAAGCCCAAATGGTGTTGCCCGTAAATGTCTTTAGAGAGTGTTAAGCAAATTCAGGTCTTCCATTAATAAAGCATGGTTAGTGGGTGGAGATTTTAATGCCATGCTCCTTAATAATGAATGTTGTTCTCTTACTGTGTCAAAAACCACTTGTGATAAAGATTTTATCCAATAGGTGGATGAGGCTCAATGTTCTGATATAGGGTTCACCGGGCCAGAATTCACTTAGAAACGTGGCAGTTCTGAAGCACGCTTGGATAGATACTTGATGAATGAGGAATGGTAGATCTTATTTTTGAATGCCTTCGTGGTCCATCTACCAAACTTTAAATCTAATCATCGACTAATTCTCTTGCACACTAAGAGTAATGCAATTCAGCAGCCTCAAGATCGTCCTTTTCGATTTATTGCTTCTTGGGTCCTTCATGAAAATTTTAAAGATTTGGTAAAGTAGAACTGGATGATGAATGAAGATTGGTCAGGTAATGTGGCGCAGTTCACAGAGGCTTGTAAGCAATGGAATAAAAATTTTGTTGGCCATACTGAATTTAAGAAGCAAAGATTGTTGAGATGGTTAGATGGAGTGAACTCTGCAATAGGCCAAGGGCATAATATCGAACATTATGAAACTCTCCAATTCCATCTATGGAAGGAACTAGAAGATGTTATGGTGCAAGATTCTTTACTGTGGGCTCAAAAAGCTCAATTGAAATGGAATGTGCTTGGAGATCAGAACACTCGTACCTTCTACGCCTATGCAAATCATAGGAGGAAAATCAACCATATCCAAGCTCTAAAAGGTAAAGAAGGAGATTGGTGCTATGATGCAAATATCATCAAACAAACAATCACTGAGTTTTTCTCTAGTCTTTTTATAGAAGAATAGTAAGATCGGTATCCATTGGCTTGTGATATATCTTTCTTGAAAATTGATGAAGATATGTGCAAGAACTATGACAGATGAAGAGATAAAGGATGCGGTGTTCAATATGGGACCTCTTAAATCTCCAGGCCCTGATGGCTTAAATGCTCTATTCTTTCAACACCAGTGGGAGCAAATTGGTAAATCTATTAGTGATTTTGTGAAGTTAATTTTTCATGATCCCAAAGTTATTAGTGAAGTGAATGATACTTTTATTGTGCTCATCCCTAAGAAAGAGCCTCCTGAATCCATGAGGGATTCGAGAGCTATTAGTTTGTGTAATGTTATTTACAAGTTGGTGACAAAAATCCTTTCTAAGTGACTGAGATCTGTTTTACCACAAGTGATTTCACCAAATCAGTACAGCTTTGTTTTGAGTCACCATAGCTCAGATAACATCATCGTGGCCCAAGAGGTGATTCAT